AAGTCTGGCAATCGAAAATGTGTATACAACTACGTCAGTAGATTTGGCTAGAAATTTTTATTGAAATTCAAATGCAGGCAAGAAGATACTATTGTTCATCCACTAAGCTGCACAAAAGGGCATTATACCAATAAAGACGCAGAAAAACGTGAAACTATTAATTAGCCATATCTCGGATTTGAGAGGAATGGAGAATATGTGGAAACTAATTTGTAACGGGAATCAAGTCACGCTAAGCTAAAACTTGTATCTTTCGCAGAATTAGGGATTCAGAAAAACAGCGACGGATCAAATACTCAAAACAGATTACATGCAATCGCTGAATAACATTCTGGTAGAAGGATTTTACCTAGCAAACAAAAAGCGTAGGAGCATCAACGTGGCAAGTAAGCATGATGAGAGCACTAAATTGCCATAATTGAAACTCTACAGAATTGCTGCAAATAAAACGGCACGTGTATTTCAGAGTTGAAGACAAAGGAAAAGCTAGGAAACTAGAGCACACTTACAATAAAACCAAATTAGGAAATTGCTTCGTTTTCTCATCGCAGGCGCTTCAAATCTACCTATACTGTAATTCAACGGGAAATTGAAGCTCCCCATAGAAATAAACGAAAAGTCAACTGATACTACCAGGAAACCTTCAAAATGCAAAAGGAATCCCTGTCAAGATGAAGTCAAGAAATCCACATTGCGCGAACTGCAATTACGGACGAAGAACGACGGCTTCTTTGAAATGTTACTATTTTTGTGTCTTTTTCCTCATCGTCGTTCAGTCTCTTAAGTATTCTTCTGAGTAGCCTATCAGCTTTCAGTAAGTTGGCATTTAAGCACAATGTAAAAGTGTATTCACCCATGTTTTCTTCTTTATTTCCAGCATTCTGTAGGATTTGTTGAAACTTCTTGATTGTGACCAAATTACAGTGAAATATGCCTTAGTTGATTCCTTGTTCGCAAGCAGTGGAACTTTAGTTAGTGAGGCTGAGATACAGTATGCTTTCACAAACAGTTGGCAACTTGTATTGTCGCCGTACATTTTAAGTAATAGTTCAGGGACCTTCTGAGGCATTTTTTTCTGGAACAAATTAAACTGTGAGAAGCTTGGAAAAAGTAAGAA